TGGCATTCCTAGTAGAGGGTCTTGACGGTTTCAGCTTGAGAAAGTGAAACTCTAGACTCAGCCTTTGTATATAGCTTGAAAGAGTTGATTTGATGAGAACGTGGGCTGGGTATCTTGTGGATAATGTTGAGGTTCGAGAGAATTCAATGGAAATAAGGCAATTGTTCGAGAGAAAATTTCTTTACTTATAGTCTATTCTACCCGTGATGATTTAGCATTATCGGTAATGATGTATGTAAGATCCCGTACTTTTTCTCTAATCGTTAATAATATATATGGCGTAGTATGGCATGGTTATATGAGGTGTATATGACTTTGTATCGTACATTGGAGATTAAGATTTCAAATAGGTGACAATATCAAGGAGCTAAACTAAAGTTTTTGGTCAAAGGGGTCCCTCAAACAAAGTTCATGATAAAAGAAATGGCTCGGGTGGAACTTCGTCCGTTTGAAAGGTTTAACTTGTCCCATAACCTGTGGATAAGCCTCTGAGTGTAAAACATGCTAAGAATAGTGTGTTATGAGGTACTATAATAGAACAAGGGTCGTATGTTAAGTTTGGAAGTCAAGAAAATTAGTGAAACTAAAGTCGGCAAAAGTTATCGAAGTTTCTCTAATAATATTTTCTTAACTTTGGGTCAAATGTCTTGGAAGTTTTCTCCCAATATATAAAGAGTTAGAAGTCATATAACCCATTAAATCGAAGGCCTATGAGTCTAGTTTGCAATGCACAAAACCCCGTATCCAACCGACATAAGAGCAAAATGTTATGAGGGTTTTACTACGGACTGCCGGGGGAGAATCCGGGTCGGGTAAAAAATATGGTATGTCGGCTTACTCAACGTTTTAAGCCATGAAAACATTTGATTTTACTTCCAAACCAGAAAGAAAGCTTAATATAGGGTTCCTATGGAGTTCTTGCATAATGAAGGTTAATTTTTGACGATTTCTACCATTAAAGGTGTCCCCCGTGCCCAGAAACATGATCTCTACACGTGGCAATCGTTTTTCCCTTCTATTAGCTGTGTTTGGAGCTAGTTTTTGAAGATATAAATTTATATTTATTAGTGTTTCTTCAAGTTTTACACTTGGTTAACTAAGGTAATCATCTCGGGACTCTTTTATGATTGTTTTTATGAATTTCTACGGACATTTCAACAAGTTGGGGCAATATGGCAAATCTGCCGATTTAATTTTATGAATTATTTATAGGTGTATACCAGCTGTGTATATATAGTGTTTGCAAAGCTTAGGATATAAGGAATAACTTTCGTGAAGAATCTATGGCCATTTGAGCATTCATTGTAAAGGTATGTTAAGGCGAAGCTATGTCCCTCATTTTAGCACCACTCCTGGGAAATTCCTAAAACGCCGAATGTGATATTTTGCTATTCTCTTGCTAGAAATACCATCAGTGAAAGGAATTGGGATAATTATTTTCATGATTCTATTATTTTCATATTCCACTCGTTCGGATAAATAGAGTGTTCAACATCTACATGTCATTTTATTGGTTTCCTTGATTATATGTCCGCACGTATGAATTTAAATTCTTCCTTGGGTGATGTGAATTAAAATTTCACGCGAGACCCTTATTACTTGTGACCAGCCTTCTTTCTCCACTGAAGTTATTATTAAAAAAATCTTTAAAGTAATTCACGATCTTCAAAACTCTCGAATATAATTTAAATCTAAACTATTAGAACACTTGGTTTTTGAAATATTTCTTTTATAAATTATCTAGGAACCAAGTTAGGAACTAAGTAAGTCACATTAAACTTATTATGAATATTAACAAGGTTAGGTTATCCTTCTAAAATTTGAGTTAACTTTTCAAGCTTATTTGGAAGAACATATCAGGTTCCATGAGATTGTCATATGTTCTACGAAAGTTATTATGGGGTTATGAGAACAAGACTACAAACAGGCCAGATTTTTAACATGACAACAGTAACTCATCAGTGTTATAACTCCATGACATGATATGTTATGCATTCTACTCCCGAACTATAATCGGGAGGTATGGGGCCTATTTCCTATAATTATACGTAGGAGACACAGATAGCCACAAGTTGGCGAATATGATGACGGTTCGCTATCGAAAACCACCACCATTGCTAGCATTTGGTTGGGTATGTCATGCATTTTCATCTATATACATATGTATTCACGACATATGATTATACGAGCATACCATGGATATTTGGGTAGTATGGGGCTAAAGGTTAGCCATGGAGATTATTTGGGTTTTAGTTTCCGATGGTATCTCTATTACCCTTTTACAGTAAATGTTTATGATTTTACTTTTTGCTTTACATACCAGTACATTTTTATACGTACTGATGTCCCTTTGCCTGGGGACGCTACTTTTTGTTTTGTGCGAGCATTTATAGGCAGGGACACCCCTTAGGATTCAGGTTCAGCTGTCAGTTGGTAAGATCCATCTTATCCTGGGGCAATCAGAGGATGCTTACTTTTGTTGTATAGTTTGGGTATAGTCGGGGCCTTGTCCCGACCGTGCTTATGTCACTCATAGATGCTATTGCAATATTTTGGGTTTTCTTTTTGTATGTTTCAACCTCCAGTCAATAGTCTTGGCATGTATATATATGTGTGTAATTAGGTATGTTTTCGGTTGTGGCCTTGTCGGCTAGATAGTACATTTTTATTTTTTTTGGGTTTGTCTACCATTGTTTGTATGGTTATTCTCTTTCAGGTCATGACCTTGGGTCTAGGCTTCACTTTTTAGAGGTTGTGCTACCCAATCTTTTTGCCTCACAGTTTGGTTTAGCTGGTATGTTTCAATGGGTAACTTGATGTATTAGGGTATCAAGTGCCAGTTACGCCCCTATTTCGGGGCATGACAATGTACACCCATTAAGTTGAATTTGATAGTTGGTTAGTCAATCCCGCAAGTGTTTTCTAGTTATCTAATTGTTTCTTGTTAATAATTTGAGTGGGCTAGTAGCGATATCCTGAAATTTTGATTATTAAACTCTTAAGTGTGTGCTGCAAAGGTCATCTCATACTTTCGTAATTGAATTCAAAGAAAGCTACTCTCTGTGGGATCGACTCTAACTCAGTTGGTTGGGTTATATACTGACTAGCGATCATTGACACTTAGAATTGGATGAACTGTCTTTGCCTCTGCCAGGGAGTAGTGTTACTTAGAGTTCTTTTATCGAAGAATTGAGTTGTGAATTGGTTGGCTGTAGTTCAATCGGCTTAGACTACATTGTGTAGTGTTGGTTGAACTAAATAGAAGTACAAAAATGAGTGAGGAAGAGACGAATGGTAGCCAAGTAGGTGATCGGGACGGTATCGATGATATCAATAGTGTTTACAACCCATCTCCACAAGGTGAAATGGGTGCAATTTGCATACCAAAAACTAGTGGGAATGTAATATTTGAGGTCACTAGCACGACTCTTCATCTCCTCCAAATGCGGGGACTCTATGGAGGGCTAGAACATGAAGACCTGCATGGGCATGTAAGATATTTTATAGAGGTGTGCAGCCCATTTTCATTCAAGAATGTGTCACAAGAGTTGATCCAACTTAGGTTATTTCCACTATCTTTGGCAGGGGATTCTAGCAAGTGGTTGACCGAATAACCAAACAATTCCATCACCTCATGGGAGGAGCTGATTATAGAATTCAATACGAGATTCTTTTCCCCATCAAGGATGATGAAACCTAGAGATGACATTCAAGGTTTCAAGCGATGGGAGGGTGAACCCATCCATGAAATATGGGTGAGGTTTAGGAAGCTCTTACTTAAATTCCCAACTCATGGGCTATCAAACGATTTGCTACTCCAATATTTTTACCAGAGTCTTGATTCGATTAATAAAGGAGTGGCTAATCAATTGGTATGAAGGGGAATAATGTTGCAATCATTTGAGGTGGCTTCGTTTCTTCTTGATAAAATGACTAAAATATATCATGCTTGATACACTCAAGAGGATCAAGTCTCTCCTTTTTATTTTAGAATGACACAAGAACAACTTGATAAGGAAAGAGAGAGGGATGCAAACATCAAGAAGATGTTAACCCAAATGGAGCTATTACAAGAGCATATGATGGAGAATGTGGGAAAGCCCAAGGGGACAAGTGGGGTGTTTAGAGTTGAGGAGGGTTCTTTCTCAAGTTATTCAAAGCTGTGGGAGAATCAAGGTTTGAACTTCAAGAGATACGAGGAGGGTTTTCACCCACGCTATTTACAGGGAGGTGGGAATCAAGGTTGGAACTATCACAAGGAGGAAGAACAAAGAAGATACTATCAAGATTGGGCTGAGCAAAGTGATTATTGGAAAAGGGAGGATGACCATAAAGAGGATCACACTCACTCGAGTGAAAGCCCAAAATCGAAAGGGAGTGCAAGTAGTCCCCGGGTGAATGATTTGATTTCACGCATCCTTGATAAAGTTGAAGGTTCGAATGATTTGCTAAAAGGGATGAAAGCTGACTTTTCATCATTGAAAAATAAAGTGAACTCTCACGCAAATGCAATCAAGATACTTGAAGGTCAGTTGAGTTTACTTTCAGCACAATTGAAACCAAAAATGACAATGGAAGATGATGATAGAGGGCTGATTGTGGTTACTCGTAGTGGAAAGGTAGCAATAAGCGATGTTACTGGCAATGAAGAAACACAAATGCATGAAGAAGAAAAAGGTATAGAGGAAGAAGAGACACCTATCCATAAAAGCATTGCCAAAGGACCACAAAAAGATATGGAGAAACACAATCCAATCCCAAAAGTTATGCAACCTTTACCCAAAATATCGTCTCCATTTCCCCAACGTCTCAAGAAGAATAATGAAGATGAGAAGTTCAAGAAGTTTTTATTGGTGTTCAAGACATTATCAATTAATCTCCCTCTAGTTGAAGCATTGTTGGAAATGTTGGGTTATGCCAAGTTTATGAAGAAGTTTGTAACAAAGAAAAGGAGCTAGGATTTTGAGACAATCGAAGATTCTCATAGTTGTAGTGCAATCATGACTAAGGAGCTGATTAAAAAGAGGGAAAATACCGGAGCGTTCACCATCCCTTACACCATAGGCATGCTCCAATTTGCTAAAGCCCTATGCGATTTGGGAGCAAGCATCAACCTAATTCCATATGAGATCTATAAACAACTTGGGATGGGTGAACCGAAAGCCACAACAATGAGACTCTTGATGGCGGACCGATCAATTAAACATCCCGTGGGGATACTATATGACATCTTGGTAAGGGTTCACCGATTCATTTTCTCGGCTGATTTTGTCATTCTCGATTGTGAAATAGATGTTGAAATTCCCATCATTTTGGGAAGACCATTCTTGGCAACCAGGAGAGCGTTGGTGGATGTTGAAAGCGGAGAACTGAAGTTTCGGGTGAATGAAGCTGAAGTAACCTTTAATTTTTGTAAGTCAATGAAACACCCAAGTGATATTCACGTGGTCTCCACTGTTGATGTTATTGATGAGGCGGTGGCTAGTGTGAGCCATTTGATGTGCATGAGTGAACCACTTGACGTCGTGCTTGCTAACTATGATGAATACAAAATTCAAGGCTATGAAGAGGTAGTAGCTTCTCTTTCAGGCATGGCTCAATAATCAAAAACTCCATTGAAGTTGGACATTGATCTAAAACATCGAGGAAGTCCTCCCGTAAAGCTATCAACAGAAGAACCACCAAATCTGGAGTTGAAAGTACTTCCCTCCGAACTTCGATATGCTTTCTTAGGGGCAAATAACACCTTATCGGTGATCATTGCAGCTGACTTGCTTGAATGGCAAGTAAAATTGCTCTTTGAGGTGTTGAGAAGGCATATCAAAGCTATAGGTTGGACTATCGCTGACATAGTGGGCATTCCTCCTGGTATTCGCACTAACAAAATTCAACTTGATGTGATTGTAAGCCGAGTGTTGAACATCAGCGGAGATTGAACCCACCGATGCAAGAGGTGGTGAAAAAGGAGATAATAAAGTGGTTAGACGCAGGTGTGATCTACCCTATTACGGATAGAAAATGGACAAGTTTAGTATAATATGTACCGAAAAAGGGAGGCATCACAATAGTCCTAAATGAAAAAGGGGAGCTTGTATCTATGAGACCGGTGACCGGATGGAGAGTATGCATGGATTACAGAAAGTTAAATTCGTGGACTGAAAATGATCACTTTCCCATGCCTTTCATGGATCAAATGTTTGATCGACTCTCAGAGAGAGGTTGGTATTGCTTTTTGGATGGGTATTCCGGATATAACCAAATCTCCATTACTCTGGAAGACCAAGAGAAGACCACCTTCACCTACCCATATGAAACTTTTGCCTTCAAACGGATGTCGTTCGGGTTATGTAATGCTCCGGCAACATTTCAACGTTGCATGTTATCTATTTTTACTGACATGGTGGAGGATTCAATGGAGGTATTTATGGATGACTTCTCTATTCTGGGTGACACTTCTGAAGCATGTTTAGCACACATAGGACAAGTTCTCCAAAGATGTGTGGAGAAAAATGTGGTCCTAAAATGGGGAAAATGCCACTTCATGGTTAAGGAAGGTCTAGTTCTTGGTCACAAAGTGTCGCAAAAGGGGTTGGATGTTGATAAAGCAAAGATTGAAGTGATTGAGAAGTTACCACCACCAATCTCGATGAAGGGGGTTCATAGTTTCTTGGGACATGTTGGTTTTTACCGGAGGTTCATGAAAGATTTCTCAAAGATTGCACATCATTTATGCAAACTCTTGGAGAAGGAGGTAAAATTCCACTTTGATGATGCTTGCATGGTGGTTTTCAAGTGCTTGAATGAAAAATTGGACTCCACCCCGGTCATTATTAGTCCCAATTGGTCAGAATCCTTCGAAGTAATGTGTGATGCAAGCGGCACGACATTAGGTGTGGTATTGGGGCAAAAATGCAACAAACTATTTTACCCCATTTACTACGCAAGAAAAACTCTAAACAGTGCTCAACGTAACTATACAGTTACTGAACAAGAGTTACTTGCAGTAGTTTATGCATTTGAGAAGTTTCGAGCATACTTGCTAGGTACTAAATTGGTTGTTCACACTAATCATGTTGCACTGCGTTATTTGATGGCAAAAAAGGATGCCAAGCCAAGATTCATAAGGTGGGTGCTACTATTGCAAGAATTCGACTTTGAGGTCAAAGATAGGAGAGGTTGTGAAAACTTGGTGGCTGACCACTTATCAAGATTGGAAGGCAAGGAAAATGATGAGCTAGAGATCGACATAAATGAATCTTTTCCTGATGAGTAGGTACTCACGGGACTTCTAAAACATTCTCCTTGGTATGCAGATATTGCACTACGTAGTGTGTGGACTAATCCAGACGAACTGAACTTTTACCAACAAAAGAGGTTCTTGTTCGATGTTAAGAAGTACTTTTGGGATGAACCATATTTATTCAGAGAGTGTGCAGACCATATCATTAGGAGATGTGTTCCGCAAGAAGAAGCCATCGAAATTCTCTATACTTGTCATGCATCACCCTTGGGGGTCATCATGGTGGTGTACATACAGCTACTAAAGTCCTCCAAAGTGGCTACTACTTGTCGTCCCTCTACAAAGATGCTCATGAATTTGTTAAGAAGTGTACTCAATGTCAGAAGCAAGGTAGAGTGTCCAAAAGACACGAGCTACCTCTTACGCCCATTTTAGGAGTTGATCTATTTGATGTTTAGGGAATAGATTTTATGGGCCCATTTGTGAGTTCGTTTGGTAATAAGTATATCTTGGTGGCCGTAGATTATGTTTCTAAATGGGTGGATGTTGTTTCACTTCCAAACAATGAAGGGTAAAGTGTTGTTCAATTCCTCAAACACTATATCTTTGCTAGATTTGGTACTCATTGGGCTATTATTAGTGATGGGGGATCCCACTTTTGCAACAAGTGGTTCTCAGCCGCATTGAGTAAGTATGTAGTTAAACACATAGCAACTTTGTATCATCCCCAAACAAGCGGCCAAGTTGAAATGTCAAATTGAGAGATCAAAAGCATCTTAGCTATGATAGTGAATGCTAATAGGACTGATTGGTCTCGAAAGCTTGATAACGTGCTATGTTCGTATCGTACCGCATACAAAACACCAATCGGTATGTCTCCATATCAGCTAGTTTTCGGTAAATCTTTCCATCTACCAATTGAATTTGAACACAAAGCATTATGGGCATTGAAATCTCTAAATTTGGACTAGACAAAGACTTCAAAATAGAGGGTAGAGAAGTTAAATGAGTTGGACGAATTCAGGTTCAAGGCTTACGAAAGTTCAGCCCTTTACAAGGAAAAGATGAAGAAGTGACATGATTCTAAAATCCTCAAGAAGGAGTTCAGAATAGGAGATTAGGTGTTACTATATAACTCTCGACTTAGACTATTTCCCAGAAAGTTCAAGTACAAATGGTCAGGGCCGTTTAGAGTGATGCGAGTGTTCACAAATGGTGCCATCGAAGTTTAAGGTTAAGAAGGACCTGCATTCTAGGTGAATGGGCAACGCTTGAAGTTATACTTTAGCGAGTGCCAAGAGATTTCTCTGATTAAGGTGGTGTACCTCGAAGATTCTTGAGAGAATTTCCATGTCGTGCCACGACGTTAAATAAGGCGCTTCTTGGGAGGTGACCCAAGTGTTAGTGTTATAAAGAATGTGTGTTGATTTTGCAAGTGCAAGATATTGTACGAGAAGAAGATGTTATTGGCGGATAGCCGAATCCGTTCGGCAAGCATGACATAGTACGCCTTATGGACTTCAAAAATGGAGTTGAATTACTAGAACATTCAGTGGGAGACCTTCAGTACTCGGTGAATCGCCGATGTGCTTAGGCGACCTGATTTTTCCCGCCCTTCTACTTCAGCGCTGATAGCTTAACTCAATGATTGTTCGGCGATGTCACAAGTCCATTATACAAAGCGCTGACCTTTTCGGAAACCTCCTCCATCTCTATCAATTTTCCCCTTTCTGAGAGTGTCGCACACTGGAACTAAGGGCGTTATAAGGACCATTAGGCGTACCATCGAGGCATTCGGTGAATATTTTATTTTCTCACCAACTGGGCGCTTAGTTAGGATTCCTCGTCACCTTGCTCTGCATGTTTATATACTAGAATTTTATATTTAATTTTTAGTTTTTGTTTTTATTCTTATTTTATTTATGGAATTGTCCGTTCTGTACACACATTGGGGCTGAATACTTTTGGTAGGGTGTGTGCTTGGTCAGTGAGTTCCTTTGAGTGCTGGACCCTTCTGGAAAAAAATTGACACCTCTTGTGTGTTTAATTGTGGATGTTCTTGTGTAAATTTCAGTATCAGTTATAATCAATACCGATGACTTGAATGGTGCTCTAAATTAAACAAAACTGAATGTGCAGCTACGATGAGGCTAAGTGAAGTTGCATAAACAATATGTGAACCTTTTGTATCTCGTTGTGACTAGCCGATTATCAAATTGAGTCTCTGGTGATGAACATTGCACACTAGCAAAACTGTGGAGTCTTATTTGATATTAGTGTCAATGCCTTGTGTGATGACATCTATAATTTGCCCCGTTGGTCCAGTTGACTAAGTGATGCAAACTCTTGAAATGATCTTAGGTAACAATTTTGAAGATTTAACCAATTTAACATTATACCTCTTTTGTGGCCTACCTTGTGAATGTGTGAACTTTGTTGACCCCCCTTTGAGCCCTATCCTTTTCTTAGAAGAAACTTGAGCAAATCAGACCTTTCTCTATCCCTTCACCGTAATGCTCATGAAGTGTGGTTTGTTTGAAAAGCCAACTTAGGCCAAAAGCCTTATTGGGGGTGTGGTGAAAAGAGAAGGTAACTCAAGAAATGCAAAAGAAGTCCCCCTTGAACCATGGCTATGAAAAAGATGGAACCCCTCCATATAAAAAAAAGAGAAAAGAAATGAAGAATGAAAAATAAAAAGAATGAAAAAGTTGTGAATTAAAGTTCTGAAAGTTGCAAGAAAAATGGGGTGTCTGATATTCCATGAGAAGTTAATAATGAGGTGACTTGTGAGCACGATTGCAAATGTTGAAGAAAAGGAAAGAGAGTGTTGTTCATACCACATTTCATGAGGATAGAAGCCACTGAGCCTAAATGACCATACCTTTACACTCAACCCCGTTTCAAGCCTTGAAAATACCATTTTGATCTTGAGTAAGCTGAAACGAATGTTAGTTGGAAAATAAGGGCAAACCTATGGGTGAAGTCATGCATGTGTTCATCTTTGAGAATGTGAGAGTTGTATGTGATTCCGGAACTTTAAATTGTTGAAGAATAGTGTGTGAATATGGAATCATCTTTGTGTGACGAAATTTGAGTACCTTTGTTGAGCTTGAACTTGCATTTGAAGCAAGTATTATGAACTAGAGATTCTTTGAGAATGGTGAGTGATCACAACTTGAACCTTTGAGTGCACAATTGATCCTTGCATGAGTAAGTTGAGTCTTGTTGAGTTCATTCATGATTGAGTCTACTGTACCACTGTTTAAGACATCCTTTTTGAATTGACGAACTTGAGTTTTACTTGAGGACAAGCAAAAGTTTAAGTTGGGGGGTGTTGATGAGTTCGAGATTTGGACTCATTTAGGGATTTATTTGTAATGGTTTAGTGTCCTCATATGCTTATTTTGTGCCAACAACTAATATAAAACCGTTGATCTTCAGATATATGTATTGAGGAATAAAGCTAGGACAAATGGACAACAGAGATAACACGAGCGAAAAAAAGAAGGGAAAAACATGCATGATGATCGCTGATGTAACTCGGCGACTCAGCAAGTTGCCACTCTACCGCCTAAAGTAACAGAATGTTGAGGCTAGATTGGGAGTAGTTTCAGCGAGCAGTGGTTCCACTCGGAGTGCACCGATCGCATCAACAGTGGATGACCAGGTCGCCAAAAGTACTGATCTAATCTTGAC